GTATTCTCAGTCAGAAATGAAATGATGTGATTAGGTGTGTGCTTAGTGAACAGAGCTGGCTTCAGCTATCAGCAAAGCATCTTTTTGATCTGTGAAATAAGAATTGCAACTCCAAGACGCCAGGTCCAGCGCAGTGGGTTCGCAGGCTGGTAACTCCAGAGTTAGCACAGGATCGTTGAAGTCATCTGTTGGTCCTTCCGTTCTCTGTCGTGCGTGTGTTGTGCTTGTGTGTGTGGTCGTGTGTGCGTATGTGTGTGTGTGTGCTTGTGCTTGTGCGTACGAGACAAGCCACTGCAGCCAGAGCAGGAGTTCAACTTGAATAACATCCGAGGCGCACAGAGGCCTGAATAAACGGCGTCACGACCAGAACCGGCTCGTAAAAAAATTCAATAAATGTCATACATCCATCAATTTCCATCAAGCGCGTCAGTAAATACCACGTTTTCAATGGAAGGTTAACTTTATGAAAGAGAGCAGGGGTCACTTCACTTGGATGACGAGTGACTCTGGGCCAGCATAAGCAGGATATGCTCGCTGGGGCCCCGGCCGTTTGCTTTGCAGTGTTGGCACAATTGCAGATAGGCATGGAGTTCAAGTTATGACTTTCCCAGCGGAGCCATACTGGGAATCCGGCAGTTATTGTCTGGGATTCAGCCCCCCAGGACGGGCTGCAAGGGTGGCGTGGGTCCTCTGAATCTGGAGGGAGGCAGATGGCTGGATGCTGCATTTCTCATCCCCAGGTCAGCTGTAAAGCACCCTGTCCTCAGGAAAGATCAAAATAACACATTAGAAAACTGTGAAAAAGTATCACTCCTGGAACCTTTAAAAAGCACTGCATTACCACTGCACTGTATGTAGGCCTCTCTCTCTTTTTCACACACACACAGAAACCCACACACCTTCCCCGCTGCTCATGCCACTTCCGCCATAAAAGCCCTGGCAGTGATCCACGTGCCCATTAGCACGCGCTAAATAACTGTTAACAATGTATTACCCAGACTCCCCTGCTCCGGCACTTCTACCCTACCCCGGCGTCCCTTCAAAGCTCACAGGTAATTATGTCAAAGGTTTTTAATAAAGAGTGCGCGGTGGGTTGACGCCTGCATTCACAGTGACTAAATGTATTTTTAAAAACAGACTTGAATGAATGGGCCGGGCTCTGATTGGCTGATTTACACCACGAGTCGTTGAAAATCACCAGGTGAATAATAGTTGCACCTGCGCGTTAATTAGTCTAACACGCTAATCAACTTTTAAAATGGCGTCGTTAGCCTGTTGACTGATATAATTATAAAAATGTAGTGTAGGCCTATTATATAAATATTATTAAGCCTATTGTTCAAGATGAATGCTGTCTGTTAAAAGTCAATTCGTTTATAATTAATTCAATTCAGTTTGTTTATTGTACTTAATTATTGCACAAAATGGTGGTTTAAGAAGTAGTAATAAATCTAAACAGCCCCAGCCAATTACAGTGGAGCAGCAGCACACACTGCAGTTTTATGAATGGAGGGGAAGCCTGTCGTGGGCAACCTGTGATTTACACTTGTTTAACAAAAATAGCCTTTCTTTAATGCCCCATGCATACAGGGATAAAAGGCTGCAGACTAATGCTTAGCTTACATCCCGCCTTCAATGTTTTTTAAATGTGTCCAATCAAGTTCAGGTGCTGACAAATTTAGACACTAAACAGAGCTGACACAGCACTATAAAAGGGTCTTACTCACACAGCCTGAAAGAAAGAAACACACATACAAATTAAAGAAATAAAACAAGGCCCAAGATTTTTTTTTTTTTTACAGTTGAACTGCAAAACGCAGAGCTACGTTCATTAGGACGTATAGAGCTGCCAGACTGGCAAATCCATAACAGAAAGGCTCGGCGACAGAGAGCTTCCCATTATTTTTAGATCCAGATCTTGCAGAGGAAGACTGCGAAGTCGCTTGGCCACAGAGAAAGGAAATGTGCCTCTGTATTTGTCGAGGCCCAGATCAGCTTATTCTACAATCCTATACTCTGTTTCTGTATCTTACACCAGCTTCATGTGGAGTCATAACACGTTTAAGAAGTTTTATCTCTCGCCATATTCTGCACAGACATTCCTGGCTGTTTTATTTAATCCTTCTGAAATCTAGTCTATAAAACTATCTTAATATTGTAATAAAGAATTGTACACTAACTGCAGATGGCTGCAAGGATCAGCGCACCTGCTAACGAATAAAAATAATAATACTTATTTACAAAAACAATGTATTTATAAGGAAACACTAGCCATCCTTGCAACGAAAATGTTTTCCTTGGTGAGGACTGATTGAAGCCACCGGTTCATATCATTATAATGAAACTGCACCAATTAACAGTCATGTGATTGAAGTGGTGGGCCTAATTAGACCCAGAGTCCTGAACCATTTATCCACACTGTTTACGAGACCTTGATGTTTACAAAATATTATAGAATTGTTTTATCTAATCAAATATAAAGAATAAACTGTTTTTAAATCATTATTAGCCTATTATTATTATTATTATTATTATTATTATTATTATTATTATTTCCAAGATGGCAATATTCAGCA